AAAACCCCAATTTCTGGCAGTCGAGATCCGAACCTGTTTGATTCCCCTCGCGCATCTTGAAGCCATTTCTCTCCGTCCTTCGCGGACAACATGTCATTTCCAAGCCATCTCCTTTCCCATAGGATCCATGTATGGTATATATGCTAACATTGGGGGTATATTGATGGCAAATGTTACCATATATATCCATATATAGCATACATGGATCCTATGGGTTTACATATTACATATTCATCTCGAAGGCTAATGGTAGACCAACGATGGCACAACTTTTGAGGAAATCAAGCAATCAGTTTGAACTTGTTGCATCCAGGCACTCAGAACTGGCCAGGAAGCATGGGGAAGCCGCCTCTTGCAGTGACCCTACACTTAAGTTCTGTTAGGTCTGGTATCCTGATATGGTTCCAAAGTCACAAGCGCGGTGAACCACAGGGAACTATGGGATCGAGATTTTTTGGCAGTGAATTCAGCCAGTTTTCTACATTCACACATCATCCTTTGGGGGAAATATTCTCCTCTGGTAGTTTTAGCATAGCTATGAAAAAATTCGGCCATTTGTAGATGATTTAGCTATTAAAATGGTGATGTTCCAACCATTTTCCATCGCTTTTTCTATGTTTACCAGAGGCTAAACATGAATAAACCAACATCTACACATCACAGGAGGTTCCCACCTTCAAAGGATTCCTCCCCAGCGCTGCGGTTCCCACCTTGCGAATATGCTTCTCCGCGTTCTGCAGGGCGCTATTCATCGCGTCGACTGCAGTGAAAGCTGGGAGAGCAACGAATTCCGGGATGCTCCCATGGTGGAATATGTACAGTATATATCAATATCAACATTTATATATCATGTATCATCCCAAAAGAAACGTCCATATATATATATATATTAAAATATAATATAATATAATATAATAAATATATATATATATAATCCACATTAAAAATGGGATATCATCCCCATATTCCACATATATTCCATCAAAAGACATGCCGACTTTTTGTCACCCCATTGGTTCACCGTCTGGTTTTCTTGGCGCCTGAGAGTTGCCCCTTGCGGCGCTCCTCCTGTCCAGTCTGTCCGGTCCCGGAGGGCGTTTGTAGAGTCATAGGTGTGACCGATACACAGGTGACACACCTTCCGTAAACTAAATACCGTAGATGTGGAACACACACCATGAAAGTAGATCATCTAGGCCGCCTGGTGGTTTCCACATCTATGAAAGATCCACCATTAAAATAATAGGGAAATCAACTATTTCTATGGCCATGTTCAATAGCTATGTAACAAATTACCAGAGGGTACTTGTTTTTTTCCGAAAATGGTGAAACTTCAGAAACTTAATTAAGTGACACATCATTTTTTAATCTATAAAAAAAATCAATGATTTCTATTGCGTTGGATGGCATGCAGCTTGGTGGCTTACACCCATCCCCAAACATCATCCCAAGTATCCGGGTCTTGTTAAAAACAAGTCCTCTATAATGTGGTTAAAGCAATGCCATCTGCACTACCCATGACCGGGAATGGTAAACATAGCACCTATAAAAATGGTGATGACTGGGGGATGGTTTATGACATTGTTTTAACCACATTATATAATATATATATATATTGTTTGGACAGAATCCATCGTCCCATTAGTATCCAATCATGCAACATCAATGCTTGGTTCATCAATTCTCCAACTCTAGTGACTTTGCCGTTGAGAACATCTTAAGCTCTCATTTTAGATAATGTTAGCATATGTTTGTGCCATGAGTTCCTTGAAAAAAATGCGCTGAACTATGGTTTTGATTAATTTGCTATTATCAACCTCAACTGTGGGTAAAATCGGGTAAAACACAATAAAACACCATAGTAAAGTTAACACTGCTGATTTTCACAATTTTCACATCATTATCGTTTCCACAAAACCATTAATGTTGGTAAAACAATCATAAACATTGTAGATCAGGTCTAGTTTTTACCATTCCCAGTCATGGGAGTCATGATAAAAGTCCAGTAAAACCACCAGAAAATCAGGTAAGACATGGTAAAACCATCCCCCAGTCATCACCATTTTTATGGCTGGTAGTTTTACCATTTCCACGGCTGGCACCTCTAAGAGCTCGTTCTCCGCTTGCGCAGCGAAGGCGGTGACCTCCCAAAAGCAATGGCGCCGGGTGTTTTTTGAGGCTTCGAAGCCATGGAGAAAATGGGGATCTCAACATCCAAAATTTTGGATTTAACATGATTTGACCATGATTTTACACAAATTAATCGATTCTATCACTCAAATAATGTGTGTTAATGAGTGTTTTTGCTCATGATCTATGTGATAACCTGGGGAGATCTACCACCCGAAAGCTGGGGATTTATCGGATTTTGCTGCTATCTAATTACGGCCCAAAGATTTGGCTTTAACTGATTTAATAGCTCAAAAAGGAGTAAAAAATATGATTCAATCAGCAAAATATGGGTGATTGAGGTTTTCCAGGGGAAATCTTCCCCGGAGACAGACTATGTCTTCCCGTCAAATATGGGAGTAAACCCACTAGATCCCTGAAATTCATCCACATAAACTCATGGATATCTGGTTGGTGATGGTTGGTTGAGCCACCCATACCCACACAATGTGAAATGAGGGAACCAAAATGAAGGGAAACCAGAAACCGAAAGGTCGATAGAAAAGAGATAGAAACCTAGAAGGAAACATCATCTACATAACATCCTGGAAACACATGTTGGCCTCTTTTTTTGGGGACCCCTATATTCGTCTGACTCAGAAAACGGGTATGGATCGTTCCGATCGGGGCTATCGTCTGCGGATCCAGGGGATGCCTTGCAGTTTGAGCCCAGGTCACGTCCAATTTTTAGGCCCAGTGGGGATGCCTTTTCTTTCCTGCGATCCTCTCTATCAATATGTATTGTTTCCAATGTTTCCATAGAAAGAGAATGACGTATTTCTTACTACCCACCCAGGGTTGAGCCATAATATTCACTGATTTCACTGAAGATGTGTTTGTTTCAAAACCGTATCATATTGCGATGTTTTGTTGCCCCAGAATGGCCCTTTTTTGCGGCTCCGTGATGTCCGCGTATTTCAGCACCTTAGGTGCTTAAAACCTCGGGACGTCATATGCTGATCGACAGCTGATAGTTGGGAAGGCCTCTGAGGCCAATTGCCAACTTCAAAACGTGGTCAAATTCCTACCATAACCTGGGTATGGGTCAAAATATGTCAAGTTTTTTCATGCCATTGGCCATCCTTTCGATGGCCCAAAGGTAAGAAATGGATACCGGATACAGGACCAATGGACGTCAGTCAGAGATTTTGAACACATTTGACAACCATACCCATCTGTACCAGGAGTGTCAGATCTGGAAAAGTCACCACTTCACCATGCGCGTTTGGGCAGCGTTGTCTAAAAAAACACGGTTTCGGGGAATGCTTCACAATGTTTCAAACGTATTAGCACTCATCCAAAAATTACATTGATTTCTTCAAACAGCATTTAAATTGGCTCTCTTTCTTTCTTTCTTTCTCTCTCTCTCTACATGTGTATATATATAATATAATGTATATAGGTATATATAAATATAAATATAAATATGTTTAAAGGTATATATATATATATCTGAACATCGTTTCTTGGGATCAAATCATCATAGATCGCCAACGAAATGGAACTTGGGCGTGGGCTTGGCAGATCTCACCAGGGTCTGACCTGTGCACTGCGCAATCTCGGCAGCCAGTGAACGCCAGTGACAGCTTTTCACTGAGCCGCGCCAGGCGCGCTGAAAAGTTCTGCTGGAGGACGGCCCCCGCTGCGCAGTCAGTGCTTCTGCTCGGTGGTTTCGCTGTGGCGATTTCGCTCCAGTTATGAAATCACCAAGCCCTGCATCTGACTGAGACACGTTAAGTTACGCCGCTACGCCCCAACCATGGTTGGTCTGGGGCTGATGTTTGGGTGCGGGCAAGGTGCAATGTCCATGGCATTATGGAGGTCTGGTGGTTTCAAGTAGCTTGGACCCCCCAAAGCGTTGGTCACTCGGCACAGATGGCAACGGAACATCCCTCGTTGAGTTCGATGAATTTTCACATTTGTTTTTTCCAATTCTTAGTTGGCTTCCCGGCCAGCCATGTTTGATCACCAAAGGGTATATATAGTTGAAAGTATCAAGAGTAATAACATCAATATAACCATATAATAAAGTTATATAATACCATTATTGTATCATACTGGTAATAGATACCATCATATATAAACCATCAATATCAATTTTCTGGGCATTTCACTGGCGAAACTGTCAGATTTCCAATCATTTTGAGGAATCTGAATGGCGTATCAAATCACTTCGGTCCACACATGTCCACACTACTCGCAAGACCTGTACATGAATTCCATGCAACTGGGAAGCGGTTTGTCAATCAAAAGTGACAAGAAAGGGACCATAGCCCCCACGCACCTAATGGCAATCGTGATTATTGGATTGGCATGACCTGCTGTTTTCAAATGCTGTTCGAAAATGGTATCAGGCTGGTGGCTTCATCGCAAAGTTCGGACGGAATGAAGAACGTACCAAAATCAGGAATTCTCCAGGTAGAATTTTGGAAAAACATGGATGAACACGGCGCATATGTTCCGCAGTCGATTGGCTGGACAGAAAGCAAACAAGCATTCTATATCACCCAAAGTATGTTCTGCATCACGATTGCGCCGCAAAATATTCCAAGATATTCCAAGCACACACTGGCGCAACTGTCCAGAGTGTGCGATCCTGTTTCAAAAAACTCTGTGTTCTGTGGCCTTCTTGCATGAACATCCCGGCAAACATACTTCAGTGCATGAGAGCAAGTTTGACAAAAACCTTGATAGTATGATATTTACACGTATATATATACATATATATCTATTCACTTCATTAATGATATGATTTATATATATATATGATTTCCAGTCATATTGAATGTATCTGATATGAAAACCCAAGGGGTCATCTTTGTCATCACCAAACGGGCCGTTTCGTTAATCAACCCATGGGATGATCGGGCCGTGCCGGTGATCCCCGTCGCCGTGCAGCGGGGGTTACAACTGGATCACGTTGGGCTTCCGCAGGCCTCCTTCGGCGGCCTGAGAAGGTCTGGGACATGTTTGCTGCGTGGGATGGGATTCAGATGGATTCAGTTCAAGATATTTTATATAGAATTGTAAGGATAATATAATTACTAGTAGATTATAGAATTTATAGAATTTTATATCAGTTATAAGGATATTATCCATCTGAATCCATCTGATCCAATTCTGACCCCAGATTTGTTTTGGAATGATAAGATATTTTGACCCGAAAGGCCTTACACATGGCTGCACAAATGAGCAAACGGATAAGAAAACGGAACACACTCCATTCGTAAGCTCACGAAAGGTCCGTTTCCATAGCGACCCCGTTGATGATCAGAGAGTACTCCAAAAGAAGGTGGTGAAAATGCCAAGTTTAGCGAATCCAACGGCAAGAAGGATCTGCCTCTTGAAAACGCGGTTGTGGCAGTTCTAACCTTGGGCTGGAAAGGTGGGGATGAGAACGTCCATATCCTGCTTTGTTGGCCATAAACTGGAGGTAAATCCACCATTAACAAACCCAATTCCATGATATTCCATGTTTGCATTCATTGGTTCGATCCCAACTTTTGAATACGTTTGATATCTTTTGATGCTTCGAACTGTTAGCGATCACGATTTATTTTATGATATGTTGCCCTGAATACCCTCTGGTAAACTAACGTAGCTATTGAAAATGGCCATTTATAGTGGATTTACCCATTAAACATGGTGATTTTCCATAGTTACGTTAGTTTGCCAGAGGGTATCCTGAATGCTTTTTCCGGTCTTTCAGCTGCATGTTTCATCAATGTGACTCGTCCATCAGCAGGATGAAATCTTCCTTGGAGTGCGTCAGGCGCGGGTTGTAGGCCTGCCCGGTTCCCAGTGGATCTGGGATACAGAGAGCTGGTGGCCGGGCATTTTTTTCGGGATTTGCTCATGAAAAATACGGCAACTAACCATTGCAAAATCAAACGTGACTAGCTGGAAAATATTGGAAAATCCTCTATAACTTAGGTTTGCAGCTGGGAAATTCATCGAACTAATGGATGATTTTCCAGCTAGCCATCATTGATTGCCAGAGGGTAACCAAACAATTTATATACGTATCTCCATCGGCAAATCAGGGATTGAATACCACTGAAGAATGAACACACAATAAAATATAATTGTTACGGCTTTGTCAGCTTGTCCAGAATTCGGTGGACTTGAACCCAATTTAAGGCATTCGTCTTTACACGGAAAATGATACCATCAATCCGCTACACCCCACCCCAGCCTTCCTGTCCTCATACCTCTATGTTCGAAAAATCAAGGTTAGTGAACCATAGAATGAACCATAGACACCAATGGAAACATGACAAATTGATATGAACACGCATGAAAACACTATAATACTGGTGAGCAATCACCACCAGCCAGTCCATCAAGTTGGTTAAGTCTCCATCACACTTGCCTTATTTTTGCGAATTAAATCCAAACGGTTCGTCTCAACTTTCGCCCTAAAACTTCATGATCATGGTTTAAAATGATTTAAACCATTTTAAAACCATGAAAGCATCCCTGAAGCCCTAAAATGAAAAAACACATGTTGTGCCAGTGCCATAGTTACACCATAATTATACAAGGTTATACCATTGGACAATTATTGGCTTATCCCTTAGCTATTATCATAGCCCATCAAACATAACATGTAAAAAAAAAACTGGTTTTCGCGGGAAATCGCCACCATTCCGCCTTTTCTTCGCCCACCGTGGAGTTGTTGCTTCCTTTCGTGCCGGCAGCACAAAAGGAGATTGATGTCACAGGGACGTTGTCTTCATCATGACAGTGGTTTTTGGGTATGGAGGTGGATGATGAACAAGTGGCATCGGACATTTCTGATGATTTCGGTCAATTTGGGTCTTGGCTATCGACCATGGATGGATGAAGTCAATCATATTCCAGGCCCATCAGGCCATCAGGAAAGATTAAATTATTGTATATTATTGTTCGGCTCATAGTCTCATTGCCATCCAGCCCCTCAAAATAATAAACGTGCCCTATATAATATATTTCTACAGGAAATCTCTAGATTGTTGGATTACAAACCTGCTGTTTTGCCTTTTCTCCATCAGAGATATGGTGATTTTGTGCCAAATAAGAAACTTTAAAACGCATCCATTGAACTTATCGCTCATACACCATACATTACCCGCAGTGTTCTGTGTATATATATATATTCAAATTATATATGGTGATATTGGCGCTGATTACTCTTTCAAATTAACCCTGCATGTCATCACAATCCCACATAAAACCATCCCAAACACATCGATCGGATCGTACAAAAAAAAATAACACATCACATATCACAAAACCTTATAAAACCATTAAAAAAAACATATAACATCTATAAACAAAACGTATATCACATATATTCACATAGTCTAAAACTCTCTAATCAACTCCCTAGTTGTTGATCCCTTTCTCGATGTTTCGATGGTTTTTTTGTCGCAGCAAGGGGCCATTGTACTCGTGTGCCGGGTAGATCTGCGTCGTGGGGTCCAAGGTGAAGATCTGCTGATGGATGCTGTCGTACAACTGCCCGGCATCGCCTAGAGGCGAACGTTAACAAGAATGACATCAGATTCGAATGGGTCCCCAAAAACCCTTTGGTAAACTAACATAACTATGGAAAATCACCATTTTTAATGGGAAAACTCACTATAAATGGCCATTTTCAATAGTATGGATAATATACATAACTAACTAGAAAATCACATTGTTTAATGGGTTCAGTAAATCAACTGTAAATGGACATGTTCAATAGCTATGTTAGTTTGCCAGAGGGACATCATAAGAATCCATCATATTCCATGTAAATCCATGTTGGGTTGGACTCATAAAGACTTAGGGCTTCGTTTGTGGTACTTTCTCGTTACTTACAGTACGCCTTGTTCAACAAATTATGTTGCAGCAACCAACCAAAAAATGCAGACTTGAGAGGGGGGGGACGAAAGGTAGGGGGGAAAAGACAGGAGGGAGAGGCAAGAGAAGGTGCGACTGTTTGTAACGCAAGCACGCCGACGACGACGACGACGACCACTACTACTACTACGACTACTACTACTACTATGACGACTACTAGTACTACTACTACTGCTACTACTACTACTACTGCTACTACTACTATGACGACTACTAGTACTACTACTACTACTACTACTACTACTACTACTACTAGTACTAGTACTACTACTACTACTACTACTACTACTACTACTACTACTAGTACTAGTACTAGTACTACTACTACTACTACTACTAGTACTACTACTACTACTAGTACTACTACTACTACTACTACTACTAGTACTACTACTACTACTAGTACTACTACTACTACTACTACTACTACTATGAGGACTACTACTACTACTATGAGGACTACTACTACGACGACGACTACTACTACTACTACGACGACGACTACTTCTACTACTACGACTACTACTACTATGACGACGACGACGACGGCTACTACTACTACTACTACTACGACGGCTACTACTACTACGACTGCTACTACTACTACTACTGCTACTACTACTACTGCTACTACTATTACTATTACTATTACTTCTACTACTACGACTGCTACTACTACTACTACTACTACTACTACCACTACCACTACCACTACCACTACCACTAACACTACCACTACCACTACCACTACCACTACCACTACCACTACCACTACCACTACCACTACCACTACTACTACCACTACCACTACCACTACGACGACTACTACTACTACTACTACTACTACTACTACGCCCAGGCCCGTTACACTTTACATTCAATTGGGAAGATCAACAAGGGTATTAGGGAATATTAAACTCCCACCCCTGTTAAACTTTACATTGAATTGGGAAGATCAACAAGGGTATTAGGGAATATTAAACTCCCACCCCCGTTAAACTTTGCATTCAATTGGGAAGATCAACAAGGGTATTAGGGAATATTAAACTCCCACCCCGGTTAAACTTTACATTCAATTGCGAAGATCAACAAGCGGATTTATGACTTCGTGGAAATTGCGTTGAAGAGTTTGCCGATTTCTAACGTTAGATGTATAAGGTAGGCATTTTGGACAAGAATCGGTTGGAAAGAAACTTTTGGAGTTTGAAAAGCTCACCCAAGCAGCTGGAATGTTTGTGTGCTTGTTGTTGGTGAATCGTTATTCTTGTAGGTATACCGTGTTGTCAGCACGCGGACTCGTTGGACGGGCCTCCAGGGAGTCGACTGAGCTAGTTGTTGACGCTGTGGAGGCGCTTCCGCCACGTCTACATAAAGTATCGTTTTTTGTTCTGTACAATGACGTTCCGAACTCCGAATACGTGGACCCGGTGGAGGGGCCTCCAAAGGGTCAACCAAGTGAGGGGTTGACTCTGTGGAGGCTCTCCCACCGGGTCCACAGAAACTATTGTTTTTGGTTAGTTGTTGCCTTTGTGATTTCTAGCAAGTTTACATAAAGTCCAACCGGTCCACAGAAACTAATGTTTTTGGTTAGTTGTTGACCTTGTGATTTCTACCAAGTATACATAAAATATCGTTTTTTGTTCTGTACAATTACGTTCCGAACTCCGAATAGGTGGGCCCGGTGGAGGGGCCTCCAGAGGGTCAACCAAGTGAGGGGTTGACTCTGTGGAGGCTCTCCCACCGGGTCCACAGAAACGATTGTTTTTGGTTAGTTGTTGACTTTGTGATTTCTAGCAAGTTTACATAAAGTCCAACCGGGTCCACAGAAACTAATGTTTTTGGTTAGCTGTTGACCTTGTGATTTCTACTAAGTATACATAAAGTATCGTTTTTTGTTCTGTACAAGTACGTTCCGAACTCCGAATACAAGGACCCGGTGTAGGGG